TTTTTTTAGATAAGTTAATTTACGTTGGATTTTCTCGAGATAATGTGTTATTTTACTGTTTTTTTAGATAAGTTAATTTACGTTGGATTTTCTCGAGATAATGTGTTATTTTACTGTTTTTTTAGATAAGTTAATTTACGTTGGATTTTCTCGAGATAATGTGTTATTTTACTGTTTTTTTAGATAAGTTAATTTACGTTGGATTTTCTCAAGATAATGAGTTAATTTACTATGTTTTTTAGATAAGTTAATTTACGTTGGATTTTCTCAAGATAATGAGTTAATTTACTATGTTTTTTAGATAAGTTAATTTACGTTGGATTTTCTCGAGATAATGTGTTATTTTACTGTTTTTTTTAGATAAGTTAATTTACGTTGGATTTTCTCGAGATAATGAGTCAATTTTTGAATGTTTTCTTGAGTTAACGAGTTAATTTACAATGTTTTTTGAGGTAATGAGTTAATTTCCAATGGTTTTCTCGAGATAATGACTTGTGGTTTTTCTCTTGTGCATTATTTGGTAAACATGGACATGGCCCGGTCCCTTCAGCTGTTCATCAATGACTTTTAGTTTAMTTTATTATAACAGGCTGTATGAAATGATGCACAAGAGGAAAAACATAACTCGTTATCTCAGGAAAACGTTCATTGTTACATTGTAATAACGATATTAAATGTCAAGTTAAAAGTCCTGAGAAAACTCATCACGATACTAGAAAAACATGGAGAAAAATTATCTGTGGAAAAGTCCGCTCTCAGCTTCCGTAGCGTTCAGAGCTGCACGCAGGAAAACATTATGAAGGAAAAAAGTTAAACTTTCTTTATTAGAATTTTCTTTAGTTGTGCGTTTTTTTAAATGTCGCTCCAAACAGACCAGGTGTGTAAATATTTGCTAAAATGGAAAAAGAAAAGAGAGCAGAATAAAAATAGTTAACAGCCTGTATCTACATATAAAAATATAACAAAGTAATGTTCAACGTATCAGGGATGTGTCTGTGCTGACACACACAGAATGGCCCAATTCATTCCCCAACACACACACACACGCACACAGAGTTAAAAACATGAACACACACACCTCAGGCCTGTGTGAGCTGCTTTATCTGCTTCAGATCCTCTGCTGTTCAAACTTCCTGCAGACTCGTTGTTTCAGTCGAAGCTGAAACCCTGAAGAGTCCAGCCTGTTTCAGGTCATGAATGATCTCATCTGACCTCAACGCTCACATCCTCTCTTCCCTCTTAGTGTCTCTCGCTCCATCATCTTCCAAATACCACAGCTCCTCCCCGCCTCCCTCGCTCGGCCCAGCTCTGGCCCATTAGCAGCTAACAGGAAGCTAATTGCCTGTTTGATCAGCTCTCTGTGGACCTGCAGCTGAAGGCTTTTAGCCGTCTGAGCTGGAAGACGGACGAGGCAGGAGGGAGTTCCAGCAGGAGCAGGTTTGTCTCGTCACAGAGCAGAGAACCTGATTTATGGATCACAGARACGATAAAACCTCTTCTCCTTATAGAGACCCTGAGGGGCTTCTCCAGTGGTCCCCACCTGAACGTCATCATGCTTTAATGAGGCTCAGAGTGTCTTTAAAACTCAAACTGCTAAGAAGTGTTTCACTGACAGAGAACAAAGAACGTCTGGATGAAAGAAGTGTTTGATGGATTAGATGTCGAGCTCGTCTGAGCAGTTTATACTCAGAGTTGTTGTTTATTTATAAAAATAAATCCYTCTGATCCTGAAGGTTTGATTAAAGCTTTTCAGTTTTTACCTCTACATAAAACTATTAACCTTAAATAACGTCACATAATCAGTTATTTTAATTGTTTACTTTTGTTTTCATCATAAAATGAACTTGGTTCATATGGAGGATCAAACCTGACATAATTAGAAATAAAAGCAGAAACAGATGAATGGACCAATAAATAAATACACACACTGGGAACAGGTAACTGGTTTCTCTCCTTGTTTTTGTTTTAAACTAAACTTTAATCTCAAGCAGCACAGCAGATCTGCACATGGATCCTGCTACTTCCTGTCTGTTGACCAATAGGAGAAGAGCTGAAAAAATTAGTCAGTTATTTAA